TATTTATCAACCAGTATAGTAACTTACTCATAGTAACAAATTAGTAAAATTGTTTTATTAAGTGTACACATAAAAAAGCAAATGAGTTACTTTGAACTTTCACTCGTTTTGGAATTAAATTACATTGGTTACCCAAAAATCTTTTAATTGGCTTGTAATTTTAACATTTTGCTAAATAGACAACAGCATTGGAAACTCTAATGAACCACCATTTACATAATGGCTTCTGCCATACAACCACTTCCGTAAAGTAACTGTTGAAATTATGTACGAATAGCTTTATGTGTTACAAAAAACCGAAATGCAAATAATAAATCATGAGGCTCTACAAAATAGCTTAGAAAAACAAGTTTTCTATTTATTTAAAAATAAGTTTGTAGTTACTACATTGCAGGGACAGGAATTCTTACACATACATTCTAAGTTTGTATAAAAGGATTCAAAGAATTATGCATCAAAACTAACATAGAAAGTGTCCACGTAACAGTAAAGAAAGGTCCAATCAATATGTACAAAAAGAAAGGGCACTGCTATTCTGGTGTGAAACTGCTGTTTGTAACATGATATTCCAGGTCTGGAAAGAAACAAAAACTTCAATAAAGCTAAATAATTTGTTTTAAACTCTGTGTTACTTATTACATACAACAGATTTGCTTGTGTTTAAACATTGTTTTCTGTACAAAATAAGCATAGTTTCAATCTGAAAATGTGTCAGTTTCAACTTTAACCCTCTAAGTCAGTTACTTTTTAAAAATTGAGCTACATTCTACATGTCTAAATATACTGTGACAGGATTTAACAGTTTTCTAAAAGATCTTCAATAAGACCCCTGTCTTCTTGCAGTTTTAATATGGTCCAAAAATGTAACTCTGTATTTTGTCTCATTTTATAGTCTATCGTTGTGACAAATCGATACACACAATCTTAAAAGTAACCAGCACGTAAGCATGTCTTATATTCGTGTGTACTATATACCATCTTGAACCTATTTTCTTAGCTCCTTGAATGTAGAAAACTCAGCCACACACTATTATGTATTTGGTTTGTGCCATATAAGGTTAATTTCCTGAAAATTTTATCTGCATTAAAAAAGTTATTTCAACACAGAGCTATCAAAACTAAAAATAATATATATTTATAGTTCTTATTTTCTACTCATTGTTTTACTGCTGTGTGTACAAGATTTATCTCTGGAGCGCCAAAAGTGGTACTTACAGTCTTCTGATTCAAATTGACCTTTTCCTGGGTACTGTACATAGTTCACAATGACTTTTCATTTGGAGTGCTTTGTTCAGTACAGTTAAGAATAAAAATAGTTTCTTAGTAAACATGGTATTAATTTTAGTTCAAATCACTTGGAAATTAGGAGAGCTAAGGGAAAGTGTGAAAGTGAAGAACGGTATATTCTTCAAATTTTAATGGGAAAATAAATTCTCACCTAAACATAACTAAATGACTGCTCAACCTTTTATGTTAGAAATAGTTTTTAAGTAAATGGGGATAATTCACAGAAGATTGAAGTACTTCCCCTATTATGATTTTTAAAATCCTATATCTCCTGCACACAAGGAGAGCACTTACAGCCCTTCAATCACTCAAGTGTCTTGGTCCTTTCAACCTACTCAAAAGTAAATTTCAGGTGAACAAATATTAAGAATAAATTTGTTTTCATTAGACAGAAAACTGAAAATTAAAATTGCTCCTAGCTGACATCTGAGAGATATATAAGTATGTATGTATGCATAAAATGGAATGTCAGAATTAAAGTAAACACAACTGAAGAAATTATTTTACAAATCATATTTGAAAACATGTAAATACTGCTAACATCACACAAAAATATTTGAATACATTTGTTAAAATGACTGATTAATCTGCACTGCAAATAAGGGACAGTTCTAGATAACATACATGCTACATTAAGATATTTTCTCTGGTCATCACTGTATCTTATGTAATTAATTTCCAAGTGATACTAAATTTAGTCAATCCTGTGTGTCATATTTGACCTAATCAGGCTCACAAATATTCTATACAGTTATTTTAATTACATTTAAGGAGGAAGACAGTTTTGTAATACCACCAAATAGTCTTTAAATTTGTGAAGCTTTGCAATAAAAACAACTGAAATAAAGCCAACAAACCTTTAGTTCACAAACTTATGCAGAAACTAGTCCAATGCCATAATAGCAGATCATAAAGGATAAAATTTTAAGAAGCTATATACCTATTGCCCAGGATTCTGAGAGTGTGATTAAACTATTTAAACTAATGCTCATTTGCAACATTTAAATTGTATAAGATTCGTCTGGGACTTGAGAATGCTGGAGTAGGGGGAGAGAATATTAGAGTTGAGTACTTATATAGAACTCGATTTAGTTTCCATGCATGTAACAAGTCGTATTTCTAAAACTTTCAGTGAACTTGAGATTTTTTTATTGCTTACCTAACATCTGCCAACATTTTCTTCTGGCCTATAAACAGCACATACATGGTATTACTGTCTCAAAGAGGGTGTTTTCCCAAGTGGTAAAGCAAAACAAAAATACGGTAATGACTTATATTTCTTAATTCAACTTTTGCAATGTATAGAAGCTAAATTATAAAAATATAAAATCTAAATATATCTGGTATTACTAATAAATTTTTAAGTGTTTCAATTACAAAGAATCTGATCCAAGTCATTTTGCTTCACTAAGAAACCAGTGTCTAATAATGTCCAGTAAGGTCATAAATATACAGTGTCTTTAGAATAGCAATATTTACTTGTTATAGGAAAGATGGTAAATACTCATTTCTTTGCTCAAGAGTTGGAACTAATAATCCATACACTGTACTAGAGGTACATTCCATTCTAAGACTGTGTACGCTCTTCCTTTTCTGTACACATCTTAAAACTGTACATACACATTTTTTACAAAAATGGGTTTTATAGTCTATTATTTTTTCTAACACAATGCAGATAACACCAGGAAATTACATATTTCAAATAGATTGCCTTCGAATGCAACTAATTCCTTTAATGACTTAAATTTCAAACATACACATTATTATTTTCAATAATGGTGTAACTAACTGAAAGACTCATTTTACTACACAATCAAGCCATCCATTTCTGCATTATGAAGAATTTACCTACTGAATTTTAATTATATAGTTAAATATATTTGTTAGAAAAAAATAAATATACAAAAAACCTGAAAATTTTGAAATTATGTTTCAATTGCAAAATCACAGCAATCCAGTCAAGATCTGGAAAATGGTTTACTTAATTTCACAGAATTTCTGTACAAATTTAGTTACGAACAATCTAAAAAGCCCAAATGCATCACTTTTCATTCTCCAAGACAGTTAAATGACAGCTAACATTTATCCTTATCAGAAATAAGTGAAGAAATAATTATGTAATATATTTTGCCAAGGTTCAATTGAAGACTTTATTTTTCTACATCAGGGTCATGCTGATACATATTTCCCCCAACCTAACTTTTTAAAAATGTAGTATCTGAAAATTTTGGTTACATTTTTGTACCATACCAGTCCTCAGAAAATACTACATTCTTTAAACTTTTAAAAAAAAATGGACAATAATTTTTAAACAATAGAAATGGTATTTATGTTGGTTTTTAAGGTATAAAATAACTGTACCATAAACAAATAAATAACTGCTTTCCTTTTCCATAGCAGTACATATAGCAATACATTCTCCTAAGTCATATAGTTATCATTTACAATAGACAAATTAATTTTACTAATGATGCAAAAAATAATAGAATACAAGGCACAATCATTAAATGGAGTTTTTCTTTAGGGTGTATATTGACATTACCAGCGTGATAAGGATACCGTAAAAAGTGCAGAAAAAACACAATGTGCAATGAGACCACTGTATAAAACATGATTGCATAAAAAGTGATTTGGCCTATTTTAACCTTTAATAATTGAAAATAACCAATCTTTCCCTTAAAATTAAACTATAAAGTATGACATTTTAAAATTATT